CCGAGCGAGTTTGTGTACAAGGAGAAGAGGAGGGGACCAAGAACAGAGCCCTGAGGGACCCCTGTAGTTAATTGACAAGGGTCGGACTCGGACCCTCTCCAAGTTACCCTGTAGGTGCGGTCTTTGAGGTATGAGGTGAGGAGGGAAAGTGCAGTGCCTGAAACTCCAAGTTCTTGGAGAGTGCGAAGGAGGATCTGATGGTTCACCGTGTTGCAGCAGACAGGTCCAGAAGGATGATGACAGAGGAGAGGGATGCTGCTTTAGCAGTGTGCAGTTCCTCAGAGACAGCAAGGAGAGCAGTTTCTGTTGAGTGACCTGCCTTGAAACCAGACTGGTGCGGATCCAGAAGGTTGTTCTGATGGAGATAACAGGAGAGTTGTTTAAAGACAGCGCGTTCAAGTGTTTTAGACAGGAACGGGAGGAGAGAGACAGGCCTGTAGTTTATAACATCAGACGGGTTGAGAGTGGGTTTAGGACCAAAGTATATTGACGATCTCCTGCATAATTATGAACCCTCAAGGTGTCTCAGGTCTTCTGAGACAGGTCTGCTCTCGGTTCCGAGAGTAAGAAAAAAACACGGAGAAGCAGAGTTTAGCTATTATGCCCCGACCATCTGGAAAAAACTGCCAGAATCATGCACGTCCGCTGAAACTCTGACAATTTTCAAATCAGAATACCTTTATTAGTCCCACAGAGGGGAAATCGAGACTGAAAACATATATTTTTGCCGCTGCTTTTAATTGAGTAGTTCATATTCGTACTGCAGTATGCATTTTATTCATGTATTGTATAGCTGTTGTGTTTAATTTATTATCTTTGCTTTTTAAATGCCTGTTGTAAAATGCCATTATTTAATGTGTCTCTGCTATATTTATTCTTAAATGTCTTTTATTTTATTTTGTAAAGCACTTTGAATTGTCGCGTGCTGAAAGGTGCTATATAAATAAACTTGCCTTGCCTTGCCTTTTGTCCTATCACCGTTTATATACCAGAAATGTTGGTCTGACGTTGAACAGGATTTAAAAAGGAAAAAGGGAAAACAATACAACTTCCAAATAAATAATTTGTTTTCTTTTTTAAAAGGTGATAGAATAGAAAAATGTTTTAATTGTGGAAAATTCTGTAAGATTTGCTATATAACAAACATTATGAAGATGAAGAAAATAAAAAAACAAATGAGTATTTCACACATTTTATTTGAAATATTACCTTTTGTTATTTTTTATTATGTTTGTAACTACAATTCTGTATACCCTACACATTGTACCTTTAACAAAGCTTTCCTACCATGCAGGTCAATGCGTTACAAATGAATGCACTAGCTTTTTGTGTCTCTGCATGCTGTAGTGCTTGGGGAAAGCCTTGCCACAGATATGGCAAACAAATGGCTTCTCTCCCGAGTGTGTTTTAGCATGAGCATTGAGAAAGCACCTCCTTATGAAGCCCTTTCCACATATGTCACATTTATAAGGTCTCTCTGTAGTATGATGAATGAGAACATGCTTCTTCACTTCAGGAGTTGACCTGAAGTACTTGTCACATTCAGGCACCGTGCATTTGAATGGTCTCTCTCCCGTATGGATTAATTTATGTCTGGCGATCGTTGACGAGGAGACCATCTTTCCACAGTACGGGCACGGATGACGGAACAATTCATTAAAGTGTTTGGTCCTCTGGTGTTTTTTCAGGGCTCCTTTCTCTTTAAAAGATTTCTCACACTCGGGGCAAGAGTATTTCTTCTCATTTCGAGACTCGCTGTGGATCAAGTTGAGGTGGCGCAGCAGGTTAGACTTCTGGGAGAAAGTCTTCCCGCACTCTGCACAAAGGTAGGGTTTCTCTCTTGTGTGGACTCTCTGATGGGAAGTGAGATCTCCGTCTGTTTTGTATCTCAAGCCGCACTGAGCGCACTGGAACGGAAGATGACCCGTATGTTTCCACTCATGTGTGATTAAAGCACGCAGCTTAGATACAACCTTCGGACAATAGCTGCATTTAAAAGGCCGGCTGATTTTATGGATGTTTTCACAGTGCCTGGACAAGGGCTTAAAAAGAGTGAAGGTCTCCTCACAGCGGTTACACTGAAAAGGGGTGTGAGAAGCCTTGTGCCTTGCAAATGTCGCTGCATCTCGTAACACCTTCCTACACACACTGCAGTAGAGTTCATTGTGGGTGTGTTTGTGCCTATTCAGGGAAACTTTATACCTGAATGCCTCTTCACATTTGTCACATTTGTAAAGATTCATGACTTCTTCTGGCTTCTGTAGATCAAACTTTTGCTGACCGTACTCAAAGCAGGTTCTATTGAAATGCTGCCTGAAGGATGAGTAGAGTTTGAACCTGCTGTCGCATTGGGGGCAGGCGTATTCCCCCAAAGGAAAGTGGCTTTTCATGTGGGCTCTCAGGCTTGTATTCACAAGCTCCTGGCAGATAAAACACTGGACTTTCCGAGTCTTTTTTGTAATGCTGGCTTTGATGTCAGAGGTGTCCTGGTTTTTGCTGGTAGACAATATATTTTTAGGACCCATAAAGGAAGTGTCCTCATTTGAGAAGCTAGACAAAGAATCCCCGTCAATAGGACGACTAACAGGAGTCCCAAAGGAAGACCCTTCACCAGAGTAGTTAGACCATGAACCAGCCTCACTAAGACTGCTGCTAGGAGTCTTAAGGCCAAAGTCCTGATCAGAGTAGTAAGACCATGAGTCATTGTCACTGTAATGATTGATAGGAGCCATATATAACGAGTTGCTGAAAATGCCTGACTCCATGTTGTCAGAGGGTTTTGTTTTCCTCGAAGCTGATTTGTAGGCAGGGGGGGCCTCTTTGCAGAGACCTCTCTTCTCTTCCAACAGAATCGTTTTCAGTCGCTTCCCTCTGTTTCGTCTCACAGGACGAGACTGCATTGGCATGTCCAGTCTTTTAAGCAGGACACTGCATCGCTTAAGAAGTAGAGGACCATCCTCCACTTGACTTTGAAGGAGGCCTACAGTTTCTTCATGTCTTGTAAAATGTCCCAAAAGCACCTCTGTCTCATTGTCCCCCAGAGTCCAGTTAGCTTCATCAACCTTTAGCTCCCTTGTCCGATCTTCTGTGGTTGCGTTTATTTTTCTCTGTGTGGTATGGGACACTGTTGAATCTGATAACGTCACATTATCCAAGATGTTGGCTTGTGGTTCGTCCGTCTCACTTCGTTGTGAAGCGGGGATTTCCAGAACTGAAATAACTCTGGCGTCTTCCAAGGAACTATCTGAAAAGATTGTATTTTGCAAAAAACACTTAATTTAAACAATCACTGTTGACAATTATCATTCATTAATCAATGAGTATGCTGAATTAATTATTTACGAGCCAACGGAGAAAGTACGTACTATATACAAGAAGTGAATCATTCAGAGAAAAACTTGGACTCTGTAAAGCTGCATTCAATTGTTTTCTTTGTTGCATCTTGTTTGCTCACTTAGGGGCAGCCTAACCAGCATAAAACACAGGACTGACATCATCACCTTATAAAGCTCTCAGCCCATTTACAGATGTTTACAGACCAGAGCACTGTGTTCATTTATATGGAATGGTTGTATGAATGAATATGATTTTGTATCTTTGTTAAGCTCGGGTTTGGTCTTTACGAGCTTCTGAGAGAAATACCACCTTTAGGCAAGGCAAGTGTCTATACATATTGAATTTCAGTTTTCCCAAAAGCACGAGGGTGAGTAGATCAAATTCAAAGGTCAACCAAACTAAAGCCATATGTTATAAAATAATAAAGGCTTGCCATTGTGATCCAGAAGGCTGAGGTCTTTGTGATACTGCAGCAGGGTTTGCAGCCCCTCGCACTGTGACACAGAATCCATACATTCCCCCAACACTGAGGACACTTCGCCAAACGTGGAGGCAACCTGAAAAAAATGAAAAAGAAGCAATGATAAAAGCGTGAACATATACAAAATGTTCTTGTACCGTAACACTGCATGTCTATTCCTAATGTACCTGTTGGAAAGTTTGAAAAGGAAGAATCTGTTCCAGTCTGGACAGAAACTTCCACATCAAGGTTTGAAGTATGTCATCGTATGTGGGACCAAACTGTTCAGGGAAAACGTTCTGAAATAAATGACATTATTTTATCTATTTTTTTAAAAGTGGAAACTATATGAATACCACAATGACTGAGAAGCTAAAATATCTCAAGACGCACAATGTAGTCTGATATCAATATAGAGAGACACAGAGTTTACAATCATTCAGTATACATTACAGAGAACACTAAATACACTACTATAATTCCATTGCTGTCATTCAAACAGAGGTCATCCAACAAACAGGACTCTCTTGAAAAAGAGATTTTTAATCTCAATGAGACCTATCCTGGTTAAATAAAGGTAAAATAAAATAAAATAAACACTGACCTGATAGAAGTGTTCTCTTTGATCAGCATTCTTCAGCAAGCTCTTAATTAGATCCACAAATGTTGCGTGTGGCTCTACCGTATTGGCTGCACCAGCCTGCAAAACACAACATTAGCTGTTTTACATTGACGACTCTAGTGTATGGTTATGGTAAAACAGTGTTATCTGATTTTCAAGTTTCAAGTAATCCAAAGTCGCAACACTTCAAACTCACATCCATTGGCCATGCCTCCATGAGCATCTGCACTCTGTCCAGGTGCGGCTGAACCAGCTCTAAGTCAGCAGTGGCTTCAAAGTGACATAGCCCCAGGACGAGCTGAAACCACATCAGTGTTTCAGAACAGTGGAACAACATACTTCCTCTACAGTTGGTCAAATATTTTAATGCATTTCTTTGTGCATAACTATTCTTATTAAAAAGAGAAACCCAGTTTCACCTGCGCTCTGAGGCCCAGCAGGAGTTGGGTTCTTTGGTGGGTGCTGAGTAGCTCCGGAATAATGTCTGTAACCATGGAAACAAACTCTTCGAGCATCCCATAATCCGCCACAGTTTTGTGCTGTAGTGTTTGCCAGATGGCCGCTGATAGCAGCCTGACTGGTGGGACGAGGAGTCGCAGGGTGGAGAGTGGCAGGGGGGGGGCTGGAGGGAACATCACATGCTGAGGTCATTACTAAAGAACTGAGAGAACTTCCAAACTCAGGTTCAGACTGCACCTCGGGGATACATAGTTATTTTGCAGCTTCTGAACACACATGGTTAAAAGCGCTTCTTGTCAGTCGCTTTAGATTAAAGCATCAGCTAAATAAACAGAACTTCATGAAACCGACATTTCTGGGATCTGTTGCAGAAGTGAGGAACCTCCATTCAAATCACATTGCCATGGATTATTTAAATATAAATGTTAAAAGATAGAAAGAGAGATACGCAGCCCCTTCCTCCCTGCAGCAGTCAGGCATCACGGCCCCCTGTAGTCCCCCGCACATTTAACAACAAAGATAAAAACACCTATTTGGTGCAATATCACTTCATTATTATTATTACTGGCTCTATCTCTTGGTTAGACTATTCAACTACTTCTGTAAATAACTATGCAATATGTAATTCCACTTTTCCTACTGTTACCTGGCTACAACCATACTTAGGCTACTACATGCAAACTGTATAACAAAAAGAACACTGTTGCTGTACTTATTGTTGTCCACCTGGATGTGCATTTTTTAATTGTAATTTCTGTAATATTTTATGCATGCCTCTTAATTAAGATGTTTGTTGTTTTTGACTCTTTTGCTGTCCCTCTGTGGGAGGAATAAAGATATTCTGATTAAGTAAATATTAAAATATAATTTAGGAAATCTGGCTGTTCATAAAACGGTACAGTGAAGCCAAGTTTAAATCAGCGTTAGTTGAACTGTAGTGTTTACCGAGGGAGTAACGTTATTATAACTATTTAAGTTAAATAGTTACTCACAGCCCTCTGAGACAGGACCCTCCATCTGGGTCACACAGAGCTGAGAAATAGCTGATCGGAGTCTTCTTCTTTCTCTCCTTCTTCTCCTCCTTTTTCTCCTTCTCCTTCTTCTCCTTCTTCCTCTTCTTCTTCTTCTTCTTCTTCGAGGTTTACGAATAGCACAATACCGCCCCCTTCTGGACGGGAGTTTGGATCAGTCGGTTGGCAGATTAAGAAGAAACAGTAAATTGTCTCTAGAATTCTAGTTGTTCTTAAGAACTTTTTTGACCTAATTTCTTCTCGTATCTTTCCTTGAATGAGTGTTGAAAACATCGCCCTTTTTCATTGTGCACCATAATCAGCAAATAATGGTCATGAGATATCAGACATAATGTATCATAATGAAAAGGAGTATGGGGCTGATCCCCCTGAGTTCCATTATCCTCCTCATACCTAGATCATATTGCTGTTCCCATCTTAACTTGAAAATATCTATCAAATAAAAGGTTCAATACTGTCAGCCAACACTGCCATAACTGAATCTATTTCCAAACAAATGAGTAAATTACATATTATATTGTAACAATGACTTCATAGGCAGCACGCTCACAGACCAAAGGAACTGGTATTGACACTTTTAGCAGGGCAGCCCTTTGGTACTGCACGTGATACCCTTAACCTGAGATGCATGCAATAGAATCCTATACATAGTTGTTCTCTTGGTAAAAGGCTCTGAATACTGACAGACGTGTGTAGAAAAAGAAATCTAAGTTTTAGATAACAGTGTAGCAGTGGTAGAACAAATGACTTCCTAATTTCACTCTGGAGGAGAAGGTGTCATCACACACTATGTGTTTTAGATCTCTGACTTTAAATCTGTGTTTCATAATCTGTGCAGAAAATGGTTTGCCTTACTTTTTTTTAACTTCAAAATGTTAATTACTGACTTTCATTTTAAAAACCTGAGCAAAGGAATCAATAATCTAAGACATGAGAAAACCCAACTCATTATGAAAGACGAAGGTACGTTTTAACCGTTTGTTTTCTTGTTCTAATTGAAAAAAAAAAAAAAGCGAAAAAACGGAAATTCAGCTCGTTTTTTCGTTTTTCTGTTCTTACTGTTAAAACAAGTATACCACTAAATGTTTCGTTTCCATAAGTGGGTGTGTCTCCAGCGCCTCCTTGCTTCTGATTGGCTAGTGTGCCCTACGCTTGTGCTGTACTCTTCAAAATAAAGGTTCTACGTCTTTGCCTTTAGACTGCGTTACAAATATACGCATATATTATTATATTCATACATACAAGTACAAGTCTGTCCGTATGTCTGTCTTTCTATGTATATGTCTGTCTCGATGTCTTTCTATCTCGATGTCTGTCTGTCTGTCTTTCTGTGAATATATTTTAGAGTTTAAAGCGTAGCCACTTTTACTCCACTACATGTATTTAAAACCTTTAGTAACTTTACAGATTTTGATTAATTATGTGAAATGTAATCAACACTTAAATCAGACTGTAGTTCCACCTGGAGTAAATTCACAAGCTACCCTGCAGTATACAAAGTCATTCAAACTAGCTGCACCTTTACCAGCTTTGAGAACACTTTCATGATCAATCATTATAAAACATATCATATATATTATTCTGAAATGGACCAATCTGCACAACGACTACTTTTACTATCGCTACTTTCACTATATTTTGATGAGAATACTTTTCTACTTTCACTTGAGGAACATTTTGAATGCAGGACTTTTACTGTAACAGAGTATTCCTACACTCTGGTACTTCTACTTTTACTCAAGTACAAGATCTGAGTACTTTACTTTTACTCAAGTACAAGATCTGAGTACTTCTACTTTTACTCAAGTACAAGACCTGAGTACTTCTACTTTTACTCAAGTACAAGATCTGAGTACTTCTACTTTTACTCAAGTACAACATCTGATTACTTCTAAGATGTTGTACTTGAGTAAAAGTAGAAGTACTCAGATCTTGTACTTGAGTAAAAGTAGAAGTACTCAGGTCTTGTACTTGAGTAAAAGTNACGATTCGCCTTCTGCACAGTTTGTCACAAAGAATTTCAATTATTCGCGATGGGAGAGTCTGCGCTGACGAGCCATATGAAAGGTAAGCCGTAGTAGAGCATTTTGGATTAGGCTAACGTTGCATGTTACGTTTGTTTGAAGAGCATCTTGCAGGTTTTATTTTGTCTACATTTATGCTTAAACTTGCTTGAAAATTACAATTAAAAAAGTGAATGCAGGATTTGATATGTTTTACGAGACATAAGGGCAGGAATTCAGAGGGAAAGGACCAATTGACCGCAGTCAATTTCGGGACAGTGTTACAGGGGCTTTATGGCTACACCTTGCGAATGATAAATTCAAGTCTTTATGTTAGTTATTGTGCATTGTCCCTTCTTTTTTACAATCAAATGTTCACATAATAAAAAGAGTAAAGAAAAGGAGCACAGACAAGCATAGAAAAGTAAGAAATAAAATAAGAAATTCGGTCAATGAGTCACTTATTGTTTGTATAGTTAAAGAGAAGAAGTCAAGCTTGGGAGTTTCATTCCAGTCTGTTTCTGTTTCTCTTCTGAATCGTCCTATCAGATCAGTTTGTGTCATTATACACAACAGCCCCCTCCATCGAGCATTGAGAACACCAATAGCAATAAGCAATAGTTCCTCTTGTAGGCTATGACAATAGCCGCTTTCACACCAAGTACTTTGCGAGCATTGAGAGCATTGAGAGCATTGAGTGTGCATTTCAATTAAAAGTCCGAAACAGAAGTTCAATGTCCAGTTTGTTGGTGTTCTCAATGCTCGTTGGAGGGGGCTGTTGTACTCCATGAACATACATAAGGAATACAAACCTTTGCTCTTAAATGCACAGACATATTTACTTGGACACATACATACATACATGTGCATTGTCCCCTTTACAAAGAAAACTTTGTCTAAACCCAGAGCCTCTGTTCAGATAATATAATATATAAGACAGAGCAGGGTAATTGGGAGCATTGTGAATGACTGTAAAACTACCACACCACAGATCTAAATTTGGACAGTCAGCTTTCTACATTTGGGTTGTCCAAAAGTCCGAAGTCCTTGTAAAAAGCTTAATTTTATATTTGTTTGGCAAATGTCAGTTAATTAAGGTTTATTGTTGTAGCCTAAAGTAAGTCTCTTTGTATTGGTGTATTTTTGTGTGTAGTGTGATCTGTATTTTATTTTCTTTACTGATTTTGAAGTGTATTGTAGTTTTATGATCCTGAAAGGTGTATGTATATTTTAATTATATTTGTCAGAGCACTAGGGAAAAGAGTTGGAAATTAGCATTATATTCAAATTTCTTTATTAGGATAAACCCCTTGTACATACACTCTGTAATAGTGTGTGTGCATCATGAAAGAAAGGCTTTTCAAATATTGTTAGACGAAAGGCGTAGCACTGGCAGAGCAGACACATTCACAAGGACTGCAGGGTGTCTTGCCTTAGGTGAAATGTTTCTAATGTGCTTTCACACGCTGTCAGGTTTGTTGTGTGTCTGACCCTATATATCGGTGTGTGTTGCAAACCTCTGTGTGCTGTGAGCTCCACAACATGCAGAAATGCGCTGGAAAGTAAACCAAACTCTGGCCTGGATTGATATATAAAGACACTACAGTGCAATTATTACCGTTCCAGTTTGACTTGCAGTACAATATCTGAAAGGCTGCCCCTCCTCGTGTTTAAATTAATTTGACCCCTTACATAAAAGCATCTGTCTTTGCATCTCTGCTTAGTCTGGTACATGATACCAAGCCTTTGTATGGAAAAAGACTGGCAAGGCACCCAGCATTAATTAAGCTGCCAGTCATTCTGTAACTAGCCTCATCATTAGAGGGGCACAAACCACGAGGACTGGGTTTGCTGCTTGTGCATTAAGCTACATTGCTGTGTTCAGCTAGTCATCTGTGTCCCATATTGAATCATATCAGATGAGAGATTCGCCTAACCACTGCTTGCCTGCTGTTTTCCTCTAGGCTTTACGTATAGTAGTGAGTCACCCCCCCCC